TCCTGCGTCGTCGGCGGTGGACCAGCAGAAGGTCAATGCAGGCAACACCCAGACGCGCTTCTCTCGTTGAGTTTTTCGTCTGTGCTCGCGGCTGGTTATCCCTTCTGCCATGGAGAACCAGCCGCTCGTGGACCTGTCCCCCAGCGCAAGGCGCATCGAGCCTCCATACCGCCAAATTTTTCAGAGTTGATTTTTGCATGTTCAACCGTCTTGTGAGAAAAACCTTGATCTTTCCACGCGCGAACGCAAGTGGCAAGGCCGGGGAATTTGCTCGAGGATTGTCTTGCGACACGTTGAAATGTCTGGGAAGCTGAAAGACGCATTCAGAACTCACAGTGCTGAGCCTTATCCGCCTCCTTTTTTCTACAGACTCCTGGACATTTCTTTCAGAAACGCCCTGGCTGCTCGCGACCCTTCACGATTTAGCACTGCGCCTTGGCCCCCCCTTTTCAAATAAAAATGTCGACAGCTCGGGAATTCGATTGCCTTGAAGAGCGGCGCGTTTGAAGTCCAGTTCTTGGGTCCTTGGCCTCCTGCAACTGCACGGCTGTCTTAGTCATCGCGACATGTTGCTCTTGGTTTGAGTGAAAAGAAATGACACAGTAGCTCGCGAGATGACCTGCATCGTCCTGGCATTGTACAAATGAGGTCCTGGCGAGGCCGCCAGTCGACAAGGGGTGCAGTCCAGTTTCCGCTGTCCTTCTTACTGTCCTTTTCTCTGATTGTCCGTTTTCTTGGTGCTCAAAGGCCCCCGCCTCGCCCACCCAGTTTGGGACCTCCCGTGCTTACACGGTGGGAGCTATATTGTTTTGAAAACCGATATGTCTGAAGTCTTGTTGTCGAGTCCCGTCATCTCCTGCAAGTGCTGGGCAGTTGCAGTCATGAAGATATTTTTTGTATGTATATATAGGTAAAAAATGCATAGTAGCTTAATTCGTGCCAACTTATGAGTTGTCAACTCTACTGCTCGCGCAATCACTCCACCCTCCCACCCGCAACTTGTTTGGCAAGACCCATGCGGCCACGATTGCGGTTGCCAATTGGCATTTGCTAGCGCATCTGCGCAACCCGCGCTGGCGCGCGAACGCTCGCGCACAGGGCGACCAATTGATTTGGCACAGCCGATGCGGCCGCGATGGCGCTTACCGATGGGACCCACCCCGAGTGCGTCTCAAAGGCCACGCTGGCGCGCGGGCATTCCAGTGCGGGTCCGTGATTCGCGAAAGCGCGGTAGCACGATGACATCGACAACGGTGGCAATGATGATAGTGATGATGATGGTGATGGTAGTAGCGATGATTGTGACGATGGTGAGGGCGCCGATGCTGGTTTCGACGACGGTGGTGATGCCCACGTGTCGGAGATGAAGGTATGTATGGTGATTTTGCTGTTGATGATGACGGTGATGATTAAGATGCAGATGAAGATGATGATGATGATGATGATGATGATGATGATGATGATGATGATGATGATGATGATGATGATGATGATGATGATGACGATGACGATGACGATGACGATGGTGATGACGATGGTGATGATGATGATGATGATGATGATGATGATGATGATGATGATGATGATGATGATGGCGGCAATGGCGGCGATTGACGATAACGATAACGGTGGTGATGCGATGGCGGCGATGAGGGCGATGGGGAGGAAGCGCGCGTGCAGAAATTTCAGAAACCGTGCGTGTGTGGGTCCATATGTTTCTGGGTCGTTCTGACCTGAAACCCGTCCATCGCCATTGGTGTTGCAAGAATTCCGGCACGCGCGCATAGCGGCGCGAGCGTGTGGCCCGCAGGGTGCAATTTGATACGGATTCGTGCATCGGGCGCGTGCTACATCAATGCAGGTGCACCGCGTGGTGAGATGAGAGTGCGCGTTCTGGACCATCATGCCAACATGAGTTGATGTAACATGATTTCAGCAAGTGCGCCCGGGCAGGACATCTGCAATATTTGTCGTGAAAGACCGAAGTGCGTATGCAGTTTGTCATGTTGTAAGGTTTGGGGAAATCATGTGTTTGGCGTGAGATTGACATGTGCGCGCGCGCATTATGTGGACAAAGATGCTGTGCAAACTGCTATGCTGAGACAAACGACTGCGCGCGCATGGTATCATTGACAAAGGTGGATGGGGACGATACCAACATGGTTTGGTACGAGCTACGAGGCGCAAGCTGTGTGGTGCAATCAATGTGGCGTGCGCTATGCAGTGCACGCACGGTGTGCCCACCAGGCGCCCACTGGCGGCAACGTGGCGAAACCTCGGCGGACCCACCCAGCGCGCGGGGCGCCCACGAGGCTCCCACGGGCGGCAACGTGGCGAAACCGTCCTGGGGAATTCAGCCAGCGATTCGGGTCAAGGCAAAGCCAGCCAACGCAAGTGATTCGTTCTCCAGAGTGTGTGACATTTTCCGTCGCGCCGCCGACGCATTGCAGAAGATGACTCGCAAAGTGTTTGATATTTCGAGCAGGTTGCATGTTCTGGCTAGGTCGGCGCGTGTGCGCGCGGCACGACTGAAGGCAGTTGAGGGCTTCTTAGTTTTAGTGTTACTTCTCCTCGTCGCCCTCACCATCGACCTTCTCGGCTTCTTGTCATTCAGGGGGGGAAGGAGGAAGGCGGAGGAGGGTTCTTGACAGCTTTTCACACCTTCTGGGTTTACGGAGGCCTCTGGAGGCCTCCAAAGGCTTCTGGGGAGCTCTGGAGGCACCCAGGGACCTCCAAAGAACTCTGGAGGCCATCGCCCTTCTCTTTCCACCCCTTCACCGTACGTTGCAGTTTTTCGGTTCAGACCATTTTGGCAGCAACTGTTTCCAGGCAGTTTGCCCCTGTGCTACTCACACACACGCACAGGATAGAGACGATGCGTGCACAGCGATCGCCCATGACCTGTTTGGGCTTGTGTTGCGCCTGCCTCGCTGGTGAAGGGCACAGCGCCAGTCCCGAGTGCCCAGGGGAGTTTGACGTGCTTGGTTACGGCAAAGTGCAGCTCGTTCCCACTGGATGGGTTGGCAGCAAGTTTGTCCCTGTGGACGTGGCCAAAGGAGGTACGTTGGTCGCTCACATGGATGCTCGTGCTTACTTCGCAGACAAATGCACTGCAGGAGCCTATGACAACACGCAGTATCTTGCCCTCGATCTCCTGGGGAAGGTGCTGAGCTACAGCGTTGACCTCTCAGGAGCGGGTTGCGGCTGCAACGCGGCGTTCTACCTCACCTCCATGCGCCAGAACGCAGCACCGTCGCAGTGCTCCGATCACTACTGCGACGCCAACAACGTTTGCGGCGAGTCGTGCGCCGAGATCGACATCCAGGAGGCCAACCAGCTGGCCTGGCACTCCACGCTCCACACCGCGACCGACGCGAGCGGGGTGGGCGGGGGCTACGGCGGGGGCGACAGCTGGACGGGCCCGAGGGACTGGGGCTCCGCAGAGTACGGCGAAGGCGCCAGGTGCGTGGACACGGCGCGCCCCTTCCAGGTGGAGGCCGCGTTCCCCGTGGACGACAAAGGCTCGCTCGTGGCCATGGAGGTGACGCTGTCCCAGCCGGGCAAGCCGTGCAACGTGTCCGTGCGCCTTGGCTCGTACGACGGCATGGCCGAGCTCTCGCGCGCCCTCGAAGCCGGCATGACGCCGATCGTGAGCTACTGGAGCGCGAACGACATGTTGTGGATGGACGGCAAGGGCGCCGACGGCAAGGGCCCGTGCGCCGTGGACGACGTCAAGGCGTGCAGCGAGACGGTCACGTTCCACAACTTCTCCGTGGCCCCCATCGTCGTCCCCCCGCCGCGGGCCACGCATTCGCAGAGCAATGCTTCTTCGGGGCCCGCGGCGTCGACGGCGGCGGCGCCGAAGGCGCACGCGGCCGTCGCTTGCCCTGGCGAGTTCGACATGCCAGGCTACGGGTCGGTGCAGCTCATCCCGACCGGCTGGGCTGACCCGGAGGGCCTCAAGCCCGTGGACGTGACCGGGCGTGGGGAGCTCGTGGCCCACATGGACGGGCGCGCCTACTTTGCCGACGAGTGCACGGCGGGGAAGTACGACAACACGCAGTATCTTGCCCTCGATCTCCTGGGGAAGGTGCTGAGCTACAGCGTTGACCTCTCAGGGGCGGGTTGCGGCTGCAACGCGGCGTTCTACCTCACCTCCATGCGCCAGAACGCGGCACCGTCGCAGTGCTCCGATCACTACTGCGACGCCAACAACGTTTGCGGCGAGTCGTGCGCCGAGATCGACATCCAGGAGGCCAACCAGCTGGCCTGGCACTCCACGCTCCACACCGCGACCGACGCGAGCGGGGTGGGCGGGGGCTACGGCGGGGGCGACAGCTGGACGGGCCCGAGGGACTGGGGCTCCGCAGAGTACGGCGAAGGCGCCAGGTGCGTGGACACGGCGCGCCCCTTCCAGGTGGAGGCCGCGTTCCCCGTGGACGACAAAGGCTCGCTCGTGGCCATGGAGGTGACGCTGTCCCAGCCGGGCAAGCCGTGCAACGTGTCCGTGCGCCTTGGCTCGTACGACGGCATGGCCGAGCTCTCGCGCGCCCTCGAAGCCGGCATGACGCCGATCGTGAGCTACTGGAGCGCGAACGACATGTTGTGGATGGACGGCAAGGGCGCCGACGGCAAGGGCCCGTGCGCCGTGGACGACGTCAAGGCGTGCAGCGAGACGGTCACGTTCCACAACTTCTCCGTGGCCCCCATCGTCGTCCCCCCGCCGCGGGCCACGCATTCGCAGAGCAATGCTTCTTCGGGGCCCGCGGCGTCGACGGCGGCGGCGCCGAAGGCGCACGCGGCCGTCGCTTGCCCTGGCGAGTTCGACATGCCAGGCTACGGGTCGGTGCAGTCCCGACTGACCCGGAGGGCCTCAACCCGGACCGCGAGTCGTGGCCGGAGCGCTGGCCCACTCCATCGGGGGGGCGCGCCTACTGGGGCTCGCCCGTGGACAGGTGGAGTGGACGACGGCGTGCATGGCCGAGCTCTCGCGCGCCCTCGAAGCCGGCATGACGCCGATCGTGAGCTACTGGAGCGCGAACGACATGTTGTGGATGGACGGCAAGGGCGCCGACGGCAAGGGCCCGTGCGCCGTGGACGACGTCAAGGCGTGCAGCGAGACGGTCACGTTCCACAACTTCTCCGTGGCCCCCATCGTCGTCCCCCCGCCGCGGGCCACGCATTCGCAGAGCAATGCTTCTTCGGGGCCCGCGGCGTCGACGGCGGCGGCGCCGAAGGCGCACGCGGCCGTCGCTTGCCCTGGCGAGTTCGACATGCCAGGCTACGGGTCGGTGCAGCTCATCCCGACCGGCTGGGCTGACCCGGAGGGCCTCAAGCCCGTGGACGTGACCGGGCGTGGGGAGCTCGTGGCCCACATGGACGGGCGCGCCTACTTTGCCGACGAGTGCACGGCGGGGAAGTACGACAACACGCAGTATCTTGCCCTCGATCTCCTGGGGAAGGTGCTGAGCTACAGCGTTGACCTCTCAGGGGCGGGTTGCGGCTGCAACGCGGCGTTCTACCTCACCTCCATGCGCCAGAACGCGGCACCGTCGCAGTGCTCCGATCACTACTGCGACGCCAACAACGTTTGCGGCGAGTCGTGCGCCGAGATCGACATCCAGGAGGCCAACCAGCTGGCCTGGCACTCCACGCTCCACACCGCGACCGACGCGAGCGGGGTGGGCGGGGGCTACGGCGGGGGCGACAGCTGGACGGGCCCGAGGGACTGGGGCTCCGCAGAGTACGGCGAAGGCGCCAGGTGCGTGGACACGGCGCGCCCCTTCCAGGTGGAGGCCGCGTTCCCCGTGGACGACAAAGGCTCGCTCGTGGCCATGGAGGTGACGCTGTCCCAGCCGGGCAAGCCGTGCAACGTGTCGTGCGCCTTGGCTCGTACGACGGCATGGCCGAGCTCTCGCGCGCCCTCGAAGCCGGCATGACGCCGATCGTGAGCTACTGGAGCGCGAACGACATGTTGTGGATGGACGGCAAGGGCGCCGACGGCAAGGGCCCGTGCGCCGTGGACGACGTCAAGGCGTGCAGCGAGACGGTCACGTTCCACAACTTCTCCGTGGCCCCCATCGTCGTCCCCCCGCCGCGGGCCACGCATTCGCAGAGCAATGCTTCTTCGGGGCCCGCGGCGTCGACGGCGGCGGCGCCGAAGGCGCACGCGGCCGTCGCTTGCCCCGGCGAGTTCGACATGCCAGGCTACGGGTCGGTGCAGCTCATCCCGACCGGCTGGGCTGACCCGGAGGGCCTCAAGCCCGTGGACGTGACTGGGCGTAGCTCGTGGCCCACATGGACGGGCGCGCCTACTTTGCCGACGAGTGCACGGCGGGGAAGTACGACAACACGCAGTATCTTGCCCTCGATCTCCTGGGGAAGGTGCTGAGCTACAGCGTTGACCTCTCAGGGGCGGGTTGCGGCTGCAACGCGGCGTTCTACCTCACCTCCATGCGACAGAACGCGGCACCGTCGCAGTGCTCCGATCACTACTGCGACGCCAACAACGTTTGCGGCGAGTCGTGCGCCGAGATCGACATCCAGGAGGCCAACCAGCTGGCCTGGCACTCCACGCTCCACACCGCGACCGACGCGAGCGGGGTGGGCGGGGGCTACGGCGGGGGCGACAGCTGGACGGGCCCGAGGGACTGGGGCTCCGCAGAGTACGGCGAAGGCGCCAGGTGCGTGGACACGGCGCGCCCCTTCCAGGTGGAGGCCGCGTTCCCCGTGGACGACAAAGGCTCGCTCGTGGCCATGGAGGTGACGCTGTCCCAGCCGGGCAAGCCGTGCAACGTGTCCGTGCGCCTTGGCTCGTACGACGGCATGGCCGAGCTCTCGCGCGCCCTCGAAGCCGGCATGACGCCGATCGTGAGCTACTGGAGCGCGAACGACATGTTGTGGATGGACGGCAAGGGCGCCGACGGCAAGGGCCCGTGCGCCGTGGACGACGTCAAGGCGTGCAGCGAGACGGTCACGTTCCACAACTTCTCCGTGGCCCCCATCAGCGTTGAGCCCGCAGCAGTCGTCGGCGCCGAGCCGACGCCTGCTGGCACGAGTGGAGGCTCTTCCGACGACCGCCCCGAGTGTGCGGAGACGTACAATGAGAACTGTGCAAGCATGCAGTGCTGCAAGTCGGCAGGCATGCAGTGCTATGTCAAGAACGAGTGGTGGGCGGCGTGCAAGGAGGCGTGCGTGCCAGGCTCCAAGGACGGCAGGGACCCAGAGTGGGCCAGGGCTCCTTGGAGCTGTTCAGCCCTTGGTCCCCGCACGCCCGCAGCCAGCAGCGGCGCGAACGGCACCAATGCCTCCAGCAGCCGCCAGCGCGGCAAAAAGACATTGGCCAAAGGCAAGGTCGTGGTCAAGGCCTGGGCGGAAGATTTATTATCCGAATTGGAATCGGGTAGCGAGGTCACGCTGCTCGTCGGTGGCCACGAAGTCCGAGCGGAGGTCATGGTCACGGGTCCTGCGGTCTCAGTCAAGCACGCCCTCGTGGAGTAGTTTGGGTTGGTCTGCCCTGTGGTTCCGCGTGGAGAGGTTGACGAGGAGGCGAGGGCATAGGAGAAGAGAGGGGAGGGGGCAAATGTGGAGGTGCGGGTCCAGCGGAGCAGCCAGCCCAACATTCGAGACCAGTCCCTCTCGTCGCCCTGGCCGCGCGCGCAGCTGTCACGAGCCCCCCAGGAGCAGCTTGGCCATCTGGGTTTTTTTGACGGCATGCCGCCAGCGCTGGGCGACGCCACCGATGCGTCAATCTTTCACACAGGGGCGCCGATGGCCCATTGATTGCGTTACGCAGAACCCGGGACCTGGAGCGCCGGGCGAGGATCGTGGGTTGATGTTTTCGACGGCATTTCGCAAACTGAGAGTCCGGGTAGGGCAAGGCTTTCCATTGAGCCAGTCCGCGAGGGACGAGACAGTAAAGACAACACCCCCTGCATCTCTGAATTCGGTCTGCACGTGCAGGAGCGCAGCCATACACACTCGTCCCACATGCTGCGGCTCAGCGCACGCGTTTCCCCATTTTTCCCAGCGGCCCGCTTGCCAGCGAGTGGCCCGTGCAGGAACCGTTCCACCTCCCCGTCCTCCAGATTGGTACTAGTATGAGCCTGCTGGCATAGTCAGCCTGGAGATGGTCTTCCGCGGCATCAGCCCATATGCATGCACTTTTTGCGTCGGCGGCTAGGCAGAGTCACTGCGCTGGCGAACGGAGCGAAGCGAGGCAGGCGTTAAGCAAATTGTGCCACCATGTGAGAAGATGGGGAGGGAGGACGACGGCGCGACGGCCAGGCGCGGGCCGCTCAGACGGGCGGGGTGCCCCCATATGCATACACACGTATCAAGACCTCATCATTTTCGATATGGAAGCGTTGTGCGCCAGTTTTGAGCAACGTTGTTGTCTAAAAGCGTCGTTCCGCGATGCCTACCATGGTTTTGCGGCGTGCTTCGCGTTAGACATATCATATTGCACTTGTTGATGTGAGGAGAGCTCGTTCCCAGATCACTGACGGCTGGATCTTTGTTCGAGTCGCCAGCCCCCAGCTCTCTCGACCCCATCCCAGGACTAAATGTTCATCCCAGGTCGATGTTTGATTGTCCCAGGGCCCGGAAACGCCCTCCTGAACCCGACGAGTACGTTACCGACAAAATCAAGATCAATATTTCCGAGCCACCAGAGGTTTACGTTCTTTCTCTTTCTGGTGCACGTTCAGTCCATATCGATTCTTACTCGCACGATCGGCACAGTTGTAGGACTCGTTTCCGTTCTTGGCGAGGGCTTGGTGTTTTGCGTAGTGTAAGGGGGTCGAGACCGTGGGGAGGAGGAGGACACGAATTACCACCTGCAAATAACACATGCACTAGTTGAGGGTTTTGTTCTTCTCCTCCTCTCCATCTTGTTCCTCCTCATCCTCTTCCTCCTTCTCCTCCTCCTCCTCCTCCTCCTCCTCCCGCCTCCTCCCACTCCATCCTCCCCCCTCCTCCTCAATACTCCTCCCTTCCTCCTCCTCCTCCTCCTCCTCCTCCTATTCCTCCTCCTCCTCCCCCCCTCCTCCTCCTCCTCCTCTTCTTCATCCTCCTCCTCCTCCGCCTCCTCCTCCTCCTCCTCGTACTCCGCATCCTCGATCGTTTTCCTGCCCGTCTCCCCCCAGAGACTCCTTATCGAATATTCTCGAACCCCTGTGCTGGGATGTAATCCACCAGCGTTTCCCCAGCTGGCGTCCCGCACGCGAGGGCCCCAAACCGAAGTGCTCGACATCTTCGGTTGGTCGACGCCCAGGGTCCCGCCTGCGGTCGAGAGTGCGAGTATCGTTGTTGTGCTTATGTGAGTTCCCGCCCATTTCCCTCATCTTTCCTTATCCCTCGTCCTCCCTACCTCGTCCGTATTCCCCGTCCTCTTCCCCTTATTCCTCCTCCTCCTCCTCCTCCTCCGCCTCCTCCTCCTCTCCTCCCTCCTCCTCCTCCTCCTCCGCCTCCCTCCTCTCCTCCTCCTCCTCCGTTCCTCCGCCCCCTTCTTGTCCATCGGCGTTCCCCATCACCCCATCCAATCCTCCTCCTCCTTCTCCCTCCTGTTCTCCTTCATCTTCGTCATCTTCCTCGTCCTCCTGCTGCTTGTCAGATTCGGCTTCGCGACTGGGTGTTCGAATCCCTTGGTGGTTCGGCCTATTTCCCCCTTGTCCACAAGCCCTTGTGGACTCACTTGCGTGTTTGCTTTCACAGGGGGGGGGGGGGATGTTTGGTCATGCAGATTGGTTAATTTGCTTGTGCCTGCATGCTTGTGTCATTGGTTGATTGCATGCCGGCTTGCTTTAATGATCGCTTGCACCCGCTCGCGATCCGTTGATTGGTTCTTGCGTGCTTGCTTGTTCGGTTGCGTGCATTATTGCCTGCTCGCTTGCCTACAGCCTGGACGCCTGATTGTGTTCTGCGAGGTTGCACGACTACTTCCTGACCTTGCTTACTTGTCAAGGCGTGTCTACATAATTGCATGATTTGTTCCCTGCTTGCGTGCCTGATTGTTTGCCCGATGACCTGCTCGAGTGCCTCTCTGCCTACATGCCTAGATGTCTGATGAATGGCGTGCTTGCTTGCTGTTTTGCGCGCGGAGCTTGCTGAGGCGACTCAGAATTTGGGCGGTTGCCCCCTAATCTCAATACGCATTGACACTGATTACGCCTTGCCACAGTTGCGACTCGCATTTACCAGTGATCCATGAAAGGGGGGACAAGGAGTAGGAGGATTGAGGGCAGAGGGGCGTATGAGGGTAGCGCCGATAATGTGTAGCCTATATCCCGATGGGCTAGGCTTTCTGCACCCATCTGTGGGGCGACGAGAAGGGAGAGTGAGAGAGCAGCGAGGATAGAGCGAGAGGGGGAGGAGGCTGGAACCCGGCCGAGCGCCAATTGAGCTGTCCCTTTTTCGCCTCTCATCGCCACCTCTCTTCATGTCGCCGCTTCTCCCTCACCCCCTGCTCCCGCCTCCCTTCCTCTCATGCTCAAGCCACTTCCCTCACCCTTGCTCCCATTCGCCCTCTGCTCCTCCATGCTCTGTCTTCCCGCCTTTCCTCCCTTCACCCCATGCCTCCCCCAGGCTCCGCGCCGCCTGTTTCTCTGCCAGGGCGTTGTGCCCCTGCGCGGATGCGGGCGATGTCGACGTAGAACCCCGCCAGGGAAGTTGGATACACGTCACACTGCTGGCTTGGGCGAGAGTTGGATACGCATGTGGCCAGACGCACTTCCAGCGCTCGGCCATCGTTTGGCCAGGCACGTTGGCCTTGGGCACATGTATCCACCGCGTGGCGTCCAGATGTTCCACACGGAGGAGGAGGAGGCGGAGGAGGAGGAGGCAGTGTGAGAGAAGGAGGAAAGAGGAAGTGGATTCAGTTGGAATTCTGTATACATGCAGAGGCAGCCAGGGGTGGAGCGCCTGTGGTGCCGGCGGGCTTTCCCATGCGAAAGACTCCCCCTGTCCCTGGGTGTACTTCCATGGTGGTGTTTCTTGGTTGGGGTTTATTCCATGTGCCTGGTCAATTCGCAACTTAGCATTTCAAGTTCTCGTTTCGGGTTCGCTCGGTGTGGCACTTGTGGAGGTGCACCGTTAGCATTGGTCATCGTGCACGCGGCGGATTTCAGATTCACTACGTGGCCTGGCGCGGACGGCTGTTGTGAAACTACTCAACGCCATTGGTGGGTGGATTGTGACTCGGCAGTAAGGCTCGGGTGGGTCCTGTCTAACCGTTCACCCAGCCGTTGGTTTCCAGCGGTGTGAGGCGACATTACTCTTATATTCGGGTGGGCCTGCACACTCTACGGTAAAGCTCCGCGCGTGGTGAATGTGAACATTTTCCAGTTTAAGTTGCGTTATGCTTTTCAGATTCAGAATGTGCAGCGCCTGTAGCACCACTTTCAATGGTCCCGTCTGGTTTTGCCTTGGTGGTGAGGAACCTGAAATAACGGTGAACACATTGTGGGTTTCTGTGTTGGGGGTTGAGGAAGTTAAGATACATGTGGAAGTCCAGTTCAAAGACTACTTCGTCGTGTTCGGCTTCGTGACTTTCAAAGAGGTCAGGTGGGTGCCGCAGATAGGTTCCATTCGAATCACGATTATGTGATGGGTTTCACTCCACTCCTCGCCTCTCCTCCTCCATCCACCCATCCATCCCTCCAACCTCCCTCCTTCAATCCCTCCTTCCCGTCCCCTGTTCTCCTCCACCCTGTTCCTCCTCCCTCCATCCATCCCTACATCCCTCCATCTCTCCTCCCTCCTTCCATCCCTCCCACTCCTCCAGCGAGCTCATCCACCCAGATCCTCCTCCTCCTCCATCCCTCCATCCTTCCCGCCCTCCCTCCTCCTCCTCGACCCGACTCCTCCTCCTCCTCCTCCTCCTCTTCCTCCTCCTCCTCCTCTTTCTCCTCCTCCTCCTCCTCCTCCTCCGCCGCCTCCTCCTCCTCCTCCTCCTGCTCCTCTTGTTCCTCATCCTACGCCTCCTACTCCTGATCATCCTCGAGACAATGTATAGAGAACATTGCCATCCAAGAACGCCGAACGAAAACGAAACGATTACACCAGGTCAAACCGCCTGGTCGAGCAAGCGACAGCCTTCTGAGATTCAGGCATAAAACCTTGAATCCGCTACCTGAGTGTGCGACTTCCGTGCTCACTGAGATTGCCGTTGCAAGGAGCAATGAGCGGGGCCAAGACGATTACTGGCACCGCACCCACAGGCTTCACACACCACGACTGGGTGGGAGGGGGCAGGGGCACCAGAGGAAAGGGAGACTTCCAGGAGCCGGCGGGGATGGTGGCCGCCAGCAACGAGGGCCCGCGAGGCCGCGGCGGCCCTCGGAAGGACGTTCCCCCCACGCTCTCCTTCAGGTGTAACCCCCACACGGCGACAGACACGGCACCACACAACACCGCCCACCGACACCACCGAGTGCACAATTCCGGGCTCGTACAACTGGAGGGCGGGGGCTGAACGCTTGAAAGTGACCTTATGTGTCGTG